GCCTGCAACCAGCTCTTCCAAAAAACACTCAAGGGACTTGTTTCCAGACTGCAGTTTCCTGTGGCAGTAGTTGCTCCTGTAGGAGCTCACAATCCTGGTCCTTTCAGGCTCTCAGGGGTCCATCCCAGCTCAGTGGTTCTGAGGGCAGTTTTTCCTGTTGTGCCCAGGCTGGTGGCAAATGCCACAGGTCCGTGGTTTCTTGGCAGTGGATCCTGAGGAGAAACTGCCTGGTCTCTTGGCTTTGCTTCCCAACCCTCTTGAGTATTCACTGCTGCCAAAGTTGTTCAGAGAGACATCTCCAGAAGGACCTAGAGAGAAATGACTTGAATTTGAGCATCTTTGAAAATATAAGTAGGTGAGAAACAGAAGGTAAGTTCAAAATAGCAGGATTCTCAGATTATTCCTGAACCTGCACTTGTTTCAGACTTGTTTGAACAGTTAAATGTAACCCATTTGTCTTGCAGCATTAGAGACATGTGGGAACAGAACAGGGGAAGCTGCTCTGGTCTACAGCTAAAACAGAAACAAAACATGCCAGAGGAAAACCTGGGGTTTAAACAGTTTTGAAAACTTGATTCTACCCCTTTAGGCCCACATTTCTAAGGAGGAGGAGGAGGTCAGTGCTGAAGATCCCTCACAGACCACATCTCCCCTTCTGTACTTGGTTACTGTCCCTTTATCAGTGCTCTCTCTTTTGCATCCTTATTTTGTGATTATTTTTGTTTTCAGCATCTTCTCACACTCTGTTTGATCTCTGATCAAAGCTCCAGAATGACTTGGCCTTTCCCTACACCCCTAAACTAGGGCAGAGGGAGCAGCAGAGTTTCCCTGGCATGCCAGGGTGGGGTTTAAGATCTCCAGAAGTGGTGCCACTGCTTCAACTCTGCACCAAGTCGGTAACAGCTCTCACAAAGCTGAGCACTGTGATTTGGGAGGACAAATTCCCAATCAGACTGTTGGAAAGAGTCCTGGGCTTTATCCAATGAGTCATGGACAGACAGATGGTCAAGTTCACTGCACACAGAAGCCAAGCATCCTGCTCAGAGCTCAGATGTGTGCTGTGAGGATGTATCCTGCCAGCACTCGGAGAGGTAAGCCAGACTTTGTTGTTAAAAGCAACATTTGCAGTGCTATAAAGCTGCTGACAGATGTTCTGAAGACAAACCTGACGCCTTAAATGTATGAGGTGCCACAAGAGCTGTGCAGCACGAGCATGTGTGAGAGGTGTGTTCAGTTTACAGAATCCCAGAATAGCTGGAGTTGGAAGGGACCTCTGGAGGTCATTCAACCCCCCTGTCAAGGCAGGGTCACCTGCCTAGAACAGGTGACACAGGGATATGTCCAGGTGGGTTTGGAATGTGTGCAGAGAGGGAGACCCCATGCCCTCCCTGGGCAGCTGTTCCAGTGCTCTGCCACTCTCAGTGTAAAATCATGTTGAGGTAGAACTTTTTGTGGTTTAGTTTATAGCCATTGCTCCTTGTCCTGTTTCTGGGCACCACCAAAAAAAGTTTGGCACCATCCTCTTGCCACCTGCCTTTGAGATATTTATATGCATTAATGAGACCCCCTCTGTCTTCTTCAGACTAACCAGGCCCAGCTCCTGCAGTCTCTCATCAGAGAGCTGCTCCAGACTCCTCACCATTTTCCTGGCTTCTGCTGGACCCTCTCCAGCAGCTTAAGAACATCCTCCAGCCTTTGTGTCCCACCCCAAGCCCGGCCTTACCTGGTGCCACGTTCTCATCTGCCCACTGGAAGAAGCCGCACTGCTGCTCCCGGGGCTTGGGGCAGGTGTGGAACTGCCTGCCCTTGTTGGGCCCGTCCTTCTGCACGGTGCGAGTCACGGCGGGCTGGTCACACCTGCACACCGTGCCACCGCCAGGCTCGGAGCTGCCGCTCCCAAACGGCTCCGGGCCTCTCCTTCCTCCCAGGCCCCTCCCTGCTGTGGGCTGGGGGAGCACAGACCCCCGTGGAGCTGCGGCGCCTCTGTCCTTTGTCTGCTCGTCGGCCCAGAGGAAGAAGTTGCAGGAGCTGGAGCTGCACTTGTAGAACTGGCGGCCGTGGTTGGGCCCGTCCTTGCGCACGGTGAGCAGCAGCGCCTCTGTCCCGCAGTTGCACACCACGGCGTTGCTCCCGTCCTCTGCAGCGGCCGGAGGAGCATCCCTGGATGTTCTGTTGGAGATCACAGAGAGCAGGTGTCCCCGTGCCGGGTTTGTGGTCCCCCTCCCCTGCCTGTTCTCACTGTTGGCTCTGTTCAAGGAGCGGTTGACCTGCAGGTGCTGCGCTGGTTGGGCGGCGGACGACGCGGGTTGGGATGGTCTGTGTAAGTACTTGATGTCCAAGAGCTCCTTCAGCATCTCATCACAGCCCCCAATGCAGCCAACGAACTCCAGGGGCATCACGGGCGGAACGCTGCCTCTCTTGAATTTAAACTTCAGTCTACAGGGGAAGAAGGAGTCAAAGTCTCCCAGGTCATCTCATTTCTCATCAACAGACCCCAGTTTAGGCTTGAACTTTTACACATATTTTTAATTCTGCTATATGTAGACCAGTTTCGCCAACCCCTCTTTGTTCTTTCCATCCCCAGGCCCTGGGGATTACACACCATGCTTCAGCTTTCCAAGACTGGAATGGAAAATGGTTCCCAGCCTAGCCCATAGAAGTCTGATTACCCTCAGGTAATGCCTGAGGGGCCGTGTTTCCCCCAGGGATAACTGGTATGACCTACCTGTGAACCGGATGGGGTTTACACACATCACAGATGCTCTCATCCCTGGTCACATCCAGCACAAAATCAGGGAACCACACTGCAGTCTTACAGGTTGGATAGCCCATGCAGCTCAGGTAGAACCTGCCGTGGGACAAAGGCACCACATGAGGAAGAGGCAAAGTCAAGACAGTTAGTGATCCATTCTCCCATCTTCTGAGCCATCAGAAATTGTCAAACCCACTTTAAGGGCAAATACCTACTTGAAAAGAGGTTCAGCTGAGTCCACACAGCTTATGGGGCTGGTGGAGTCAGTGAGCTGCAGCCCAAGGCTTCCAAGTTTTTACCAAATGAGGTAAAAAAGTGCCTGGGAAAACACAAACCAGCACAGAAGGTGCTACAAGAGGGAAGGTCACCAACCCGCCGTTCTTCCTGGTCTTCAGGACCATGTCGTTGTTGCACTGTGGACACTTCCGAACGGAAACGGGCATTGCTGGATACACCTCATCCTGCTCTGGAATCTCTGCAGCTTCTC